AGATGTTATATTGCCGTTCGGAGCTAGTTGATAAGTCGTAAACACATAACCTCCATAAGTCAATGGAGTGACAAAATATTCGGAAGCCGTTTTAGGGCCATATACGGAAATATTTGAATTAGGATCCATGTATTCGGATGTATTTGAAGATAATACCGATCCTGAAGAAAGAAACCGAACTTTTACGCACATTGGATTAAAAAAAGGAGTAAGGGGTGATTGTGAAAAATTTGTGATTTTAAAATGTTCTATAGTTAATATGCATATGTGTCCAACTCTAACATAATTGACAGAACACTTTACAAAAGTAGCATTCACTTCTGACAATGAAGTTTGGAATAGTATATAAGGAATGCTTGGAGTCTGTTGATTACGTGAAATAAATATAGCATACAGTCCCAGACGCACTGCAAATAGGCCATTAGGATCTATACTACTAGAGTTGGTGACGTTAGCATACACAATGGCATAGCCACCGTCTAAGGTACTAATTATTGAAGCAACTCCTAAAGTCTCTGGAATTATACCCCAAGACAAAAATTTGATCTGACCATTAATGTCACTAATGATTAAAAAGAATAAAGTTTGACAGGCGTTAGACATACAACGATAAAACAAAAATAATAATGCAATAAAATTATTAGTATTTACATGCAAAATTTCATGTTGAATAATTTTACTTAAGAGCAGAAAGTTTGGTTGTCTTAGGAAAATTACATTTTTCATTCTTTGCTTTCTTTTTTTGATGATTTCTCATAATTTACTAAGACAATCAATTTTCTGCTATTAAGTAAAAATGTTCAGCATGTCACTTTACATGTAAATGCATAAGAAACTTGTATACTTATTAATTTTTGTTACTATGATCGACGAAATCGGCGAATCATATTTTTTAAAAAAGGTAATGAAATTAAACATACACTGCATATTTCTTCCATTCAGAATCAGGTTTTCCGGATATTTGAGAAAGACGAAAAAATCCGTATCTTGGATCAATATTTAGTTTTATGGTGCCTTTATTAGGTACCCAATTAGTTACTGGATCTACATATGATTGCTCAAATAGAATTGAGCTAAAGCAAACATTAATATGAAATTATCGTTATAACGATAATACAAATTCAGTTACTGTATGAGCCATTTTCCCGAAAGGAATAATTCCGACTAAATCAGCTAACGCTGATTAACATTACGAGATTGTGCCATTTCGAGAATTGAGAACTCGAATTACAATATTTAAATTTGTCTATTTAGTCACCTCAAGATATTTCCGCTCCAATTAATGACCATTCCCCATTCGTAATATGTCGAATAGTTACTTTTATCTGTAGCGTTCGTATAGGTCACTAAAATAAGCTCGTTATATAACGGATAAATTTGTATAGGCCTAGAGATTACATTTCTAAAGCAGTAATTTAAATACTGAATCCCTAAGTCAACATCAATTTCTGTCACACTTCCATTTAAATGAACAATGCGTAATGATAATAACGACTCAACGCAGACATGATTATTCGAGAGAATTGCTGAAGCGTTATTACGAATGATTTTGTCACTCCATTGACTTATGGAGGTTATGTGTTTACGACTTATCAACTAGCTCCGAACGGCAATATAACATCTTCTTTTAATATGTTTGATGATTCGGATAAGTTGGTCCCATTGGAATCGCAACCCATTAATTTTCCTGTGTTTGCTATCTTAAGTAACAACACACTTCTCCTAGCTCAACCTGAAACTGTAAATTCTTGGAGTCTTCTTGCAGAGGAATTGCCAAGAATTGCTATGAACCAAGGTAAAATCAATTTACGATGCAAAATTTATTTTATGGGTTGAGCAATTTATAGTTTTTTTTTTTTTTTTTTTTAATATAGATCATGGTTATGCTAACCTCCAAGTTAACTCTTCAATTCCGAAAATAAATTCTGTCATTCCATTGGCTATTAATAGCATTTCTATTACATACTATGATCAAGTTGATCTATCGAATGGAAATATTA